AGAGAACATCATCCAGCAGAAGGACCGAAGCACGCGAGTACACCGCACGTGCAAGAGACACTGCATGCATGTCAGAGGCGTCATCTGACGTCGAATCGGATGAACCCACCTCGAGCTTTCTGGCCACCAGACAGGTTTACACCACGTTCACCGATCTCCGACATGTCTCCGTCCTCGAGAATCTTGAAGTCGCTGACTAGAGCGCAGACCTACGCCGACCCTTTCAGAGACGGTAACGATATAATGGGTGATGGGTGAACCGTACCTCAAGAGTCCGCTGATAGCGCTCTTCAACATACGGAAGATCAAATAGGATGTTCTCTGCAGAACAATGAGCATGTATGCGAAAAACCGACGTAACGAAGAGTAGCTACCTCTGATTGAAGCGTTACGAAGCCAAGCGCTCTGTTAGGAGATGAGATTCGAGCCTCCGATCGAGCCTACGAACATACCTGAGGAACGTAAGCACAGACGCCCTGAACGACCCACTCCTCCTCAGGCACAGTCTTGCCCGCAAATGATGCGATCGCATTAAGCGGCGAGCGCGGACAAGTCAACTGACCGGCGAGCACATCCGCTTCACCAAGGAGCGCAAGCAAGAGCAAAGACTTGCCACTTCCGAGCTTACCACAAATCAACGAGAGCTCACCCACAGGGAAGTCGATGCTCAGATCGAGGAGCACGAATTTCTGCTTGGGGGTCGACGCAGCAGAGGGGGTAGCGCTGGCGCCGCGTACACGGTCCTGCGGCCAAGTAATCGTCGCGTTTTGCAACGTGATAGCTTGCGACTGCTGGCTCAGGAGTTCGACGACTGCTACCTCGGCGCCGTGCAGATATTTCTCAATACGACGCATGGACACCATAGACTGTCGAAAAGAGTCAATAACTTGATTGCATGTATTCGCCACGGAATACCCACCTGAAGCATGTTGATGAACGTCTCCGGAAGTGCATTCAGTGCGAACTTCAGCTCATTGAAGACTGAGCATGGGCGGATGAGTTCATGCCCGTATTCTTCCGTTGTCTGAAGGACTTACCGCTAATCTGCAGTGCCTAATGATCAGAGTTTGCACTACCATTGATCACAGAAAGTACTTACAGAAGTGAACGCGATGGAAGGCGTCAGAACTTGTCCACGAACGACGGCGAAGTGCCAGAAAGACACCAGCGCGACAATAATCGGAGAAGCACCCCTGAACCAAGCCGTTAGCCCACACACCTCAAACCCTACCCGCAGAGCCATACCATATGGCGTTGAAGATAACCTACCGGACGCCGGACGAATCAGAACCGATCACGATCGCCACAAGCAGACGTCACGTACCTCGATATGGTAGTTAAGCTTCTGGTACTTCAGCTCCTTCGCCCGAACCTTCATGACTCGTGCCTCGAAGCTGCGCTCCCATGCCATAAACTGATGTGGGACTCGTCAATACTCTGAATCGAGGGCTGCAAACGAGAGGCAATCCTACCTTGAGCATACGGATACCACCAAGGATCTACACGCTCGAGTGAGCAGGTTAATCGTACACGGTGCACGGATACGAACCTCGTTCATCAAAGAAACACGCTCATCACGCGCCTTCATCAAGCTATCCTGTGCCGAGACGACGACCTTGCTCGCGAAGTGGTTGAGGGGGAGCAACAAGCATGCCACCGCAAGTCCGATGAAACAAGAGACACCTAAAGGCAGACCATTAGCAGAACACGTACTTCATGACGACAGGTGTGCATACCAAGCAAGCTGTACAAGAATATCGTGCCTATGATGAGCTCAATGGGAGAATCTAAAGCACACACGGTCATGTCCCCGTCCATATCATGAGGCAAACTACATACCAAACAGCGTGAACAACTGCCGTGCGAACTCGCTGACGCGGTCCACATCCGTCGTCATCAGGGTCATGATCTGTGCCTTGCTTGAGAAGTCGTCTTCGTCGCTCTTCGACTCCCCGTTTTCGGTATTTGCACTGGCGGCGGCACCGTTCTCCGCGAGAGCGGGGCCAGCAGATGAGGCGATGTCCTTCCGCACAAGCGTTTTTGCGTAGAGGATCGAGTTCAGCTGAATTTTGAACCTGACCTGCAATGTCATCATAGTCAAAGACAACAGTTGACCCATAACTGAGCCTAGGTCAGAAAATGATACAGACATTCGTATCCAAATTACTCACTAAGCTGAGTGAGAGCGTTCGCGAAGAACAACCCGCAGCAGTATGCCCATCCCCAACTGCGGTCTTTCCTCTCGGGATCCATCTCGAGATAGCGCACGACGCGCTGCAGGAAGTAGTGCGGCGTGTAGAACAGACCGGCGACCAACATCGCGACAATAACGACCGTCGTGACACTCCAAAGGTTGACCCGCAGCAGACGATATCCAAGCTCCCAGCCTGTGCCCGGGCGAGGGCGCCACGAGCGCACACGCAGGTGGTATTGTTTTATCGCGCCGCGCATGTTCCGGAAGATCGTCGTCGCGCGCATGTCCGCAGGCACGATCGGCAGGTCGCCCGTCTCCAGGCTCTCCGCCGTGTTCCCGAGCATCACGACCTTGGTCGTGTACGAGAACAGCAGCGTGTCCCATACCGACGCCCCCATATTCCCGCACACGTTGTCCTCGCTCATGTTCGTCATCTTCGCAGTGACCTTCTCCGAGTAGATCTGCTCGGGCGGGAAGTGCAGCGGCGGCCCGCATGGGGTCGTCACGACCAGGACGAGCGAGGCGACGTAGAGCGCGAGCGTTGCGTAGAATAGGCCAAGCGGGACCGTCGAGGGCACGAACGAGCTGGTGTCGATCAGCTCCGTGGACGGCAGGATGGATGTGGCGAACAGGAACGCAGACGCAACGAATGTCAGGGCAGACAAATGTATCATGGACACAGCGTGCTCGTTGTCCTGTTGGCCCACCGAGCGCGCCGCCACTACGAGCGTGTAGAGCGCGAATACGACGTGCAAAGTGTGCACCGCAATGTTCGTGCGCTCGTCTTCAATGGCCGCCCAGCCGAGGCAAACGCATTGGACCATCAATATGGCTGCGAGGAGGAATGTTACAGATAGCTTTCTCAGTCGCATCTAGCACATGGCATGAGTCCCGGTATGACTTGACATCACTCTAGGACGCACTGTGTGCCAGAACTCGTCTCCGTAGACCGGTGTCCCGTCCACGAGATCCTCTGGCTTCGTCACATCGAACGGGTCCTGCTCCAATTCTTCCTCGACGCTGAGATGGATCTTCCCTTCCTTGGGTTGCGAAAGCGAAAAGACCGTCAGACTGCATGCTGCGCTGACCGCGAGCACGACCGCGACCTCGAGCTGGTATTGCGGCATGGTGGTGGGCGTTCGAGCGCAGAATACTTGCAGCGCCAATTGAGCTTGCTCCTCCTATGTATTGGCTATGCAAATAACTGACTCGGACTGAATGGATTTCCCAGCCGCCTAGAGTCTGTCGGCTCCGTAGTCTGGGTTTGATCGAGTCAATGAGATGAAAAGCGATCAATGGGCGCTGATGGCTACGAACAGCTGTCGAACGACTGTCGAATGGTTCTTTCCGCGCGACCGGCGTTGCCTGCGACCAACCTGCGACCACTTGGCTTGAGCAGAAATTTCGCCTTGTCTAGTGTCGTCGACGCTCTCAGAAAGTACTGCAGTTACAATAGTGGGGGCGGCACGAAGACAACGACTCGGCGGAGGACCACTACATGGGCAACCAGCTAGATAAGCGTCACGGTGTTGCAAAAGATGCAATCGATTCTGAAAGACCCACCTCGCCGTTCAACGTGAGCATTAACCGTTCAGGGTGCCGAATCTCTATATCCTTCCGCTACAAATTCAAAGAGCTTGCAGAATCAAACTTCAGAAATGGCGGCGGGACTCTGACTCTGAGCGCTCTGGCTAAGACTGGCTCGGAGGGCGGCACAATTTAAAGGCACGTGCATGACACGAGTCGTCACTCTGTGTGACAGGACGCGTTCAAACGTGACAAGACGCGTGCGACCGTGACTGAATTTCAAGTTCAATCAGTGTAGTCGTTCAAGTTCAACTTGTTACAGCTCACTCACCGCAAATTCCTCTCGGGCGATACTTGACCGTCTGTGCCCATTACTTGGCCTATGGCTCAGGAAGACGTGTCTCCGGAGATGATGCTCGCTTCTTACAAGCGGCTCTATCCCTGGCGATGAGCAACGGCGGGCAAGTACTCTCGTCAGAAGCGAAATGTGATGACCCCAAGAAAGAGGCAAGGGCGGAAAAAGGGAAAGGGAAAACGAGTCACTCTTTTCCTTTCGCTGCACGGTGCTTTCTGAAGAAAAAAAAACAGATACTAGGAAAGCTTGAAAGCCGCAATGCAAGAGATCCATCAGCAAAAGTGCAGGACGCCGATCTGCACAGAAAAGAACGGGCTGACTCACCACTGGATGAAAGCGAAAGACAGTCGCAGATAACGGGTTTTCTGAGCGACGAACGATTGTCTTCAATCATCCCAGCGAAATAGGCTTGTCATACGTACCGCAGACAGATATGAACAGCTAATTGCAGCTTGTCTTGCCGCTGTGTGTCAGTCGCCAGAAATTGTGAAGATCATAGAGCCAGCTGGCAGACGCGGCCACTCTGAGTCTGCGTCGCACGGCGACGCGACTCGGAGAGGTAGGCGCCCGGGCGTGGACTCGCGCCGGAGCGAAAGTCAATTATCCTCCTTCGTTTCTCAGTATAACTGGGCGGGAAAATTCACAATACCCATTGTATACATTCAATTGTCCTAGGAAAACCTTCAGACTGAGCAGATATGCGCGAGAACGGTGTGTGGGTAGTAGGTCCCCCGTGAGAACTTCCGAGTGAATGAGCACTGGGACCGGGTACCGTCCTCAGAAAGCGTTGAGTGAGGCTCTTCCCGTCTGGAATGAAGGGCGGGGAGCTATGCGTTTCGGCGGGTAGAATACTATAACGAATTGTGAGATTTTTTTGGGCTACTTCTATGTCACGGTCACTTCAAGTTGTGGCTCACCTTGAGTCTACAGGGGTGCATACTCGTCCTCGTCCTCCCAGGGATCATCCGCTACATCTGGATCAACAAAATCCTGCTCTTCATCATCTCCGCCCTCGCCCTCGCCCTCGCCCTCGCCCTCGCCCTCTCTGCCCTCGGGCCCTTCATCGCGTGTTCCGTCCTCCTCGGCATCTTCTAGGTTCTCAGCATAATCCCATTGATAGCCGAAATCGTCCTCGTCACTCGGAACATCTTCGCCTTCGTCTTCACTTGGTACGTCTTCATTTCCAGGGACTGGAACGTCTTCATTGCCTGCGGCTGCCTCACCTGTGGCTGCGTTGCCATCCTGCTGTGGCTCGTCTGCATGCTGATATGGGGCAATGTCTTCATGTGTTCATCCGTATGTTGAGATGTCACGACTCACCTGCGCCCAGAGTTCGTCTAGCAAGACAGAGTTCAATGTATCTTGAGGATACCGGGGGCTCTGGGTCTGCTTGCTTCGTGAGAGATATTTGTTCACTGCAGATAGGAGCGACGTTGCAGTGATTCTGTTTGATGGTAAGCCTTTGTGGCCTATCGCACCGCCCAGATAGCGCATGAGCATGTCGCGGTCAACAAACCTGCTCAATCTGCTCAGTGTGCAGACAGTGAACTTGTGAGTAGTACGCACATTCCAATGTAATGGTATACATAGTCTTCATCGCCTTCATCGGGTTGTCGCGCAATCGACGGTGGAAGGTACTCACAAGTCCGACCATGAGCAAAGGCTGGCATGATGTGGCAGGCTCGGAGGACTTGCTTTGGGCCAAGGAACCCGAACGCGTTCGGCGCCTCACAGTCAATGAAGCCAACACGATGGAGACGCGAGGTCTCAAACCCGCCAGGAGCGCTGTTATCACGACCAAACCACCGGATCCAGAGTATGTCCATCCGCTGGGCAGACTTCGTTTTCGATAGGAAGCCGCTGTGCTTGACATTCACGTGAAATATTCCAATACGTGCATACCAGTATGGGTGTGCATTCGCATTAGCATCACCGTCGTCTTCGCAGGTGCAAGCATCATGATGTCGGACTGGGTGCGGGGATTAATGGTGTCCTGTGCACGTCGCATGTCATACGTCGTGTAGTTGATACGAAGGGCCTTGTGAAGGTAGATGCGGTCGTTCACGAACTTGATTGTGTCATGTTCGTCAAGGCCAAAGCTGTCTTCGTCGCCATCGTACTCCCGGTCCGTGAGTCGTGAGAGCAGGTGATCCTTGAGCATGGGGATAAAGTCCTGTGCAATATTGGCAACCATCGGGAAGCAAATCATACTACTTACTTTGAATGCAGGATCGTTCTTGTGGCTCGGAGTATTGACCCACTGGAGTATGTTGTGATGGTGCCGTTCCGAGTCGGACATGTGATAGCGTTCTCTCGGTGACGTATGAGATGGAAGTGGGTCCTGCTCTGATAAATCAAGAGCTGCTCCTCGCCGTCGTAGGGTGCCTGTATCGTCAAGAGCATGTAATGTACCATTTCTAGGGCGATCTACGTTGAGATGACCTGGCTGACTTGGAGGTGCAGGTTCAGTGACCTCTCTCGCGGCTGCCAGCTCTGCACGTCGTTTGCGATCTAGAGCCAGCATCCTCTGGAGATGCTGCTCCCGGCGTTGACGTCGTGCGATCTGTCGTGCTGCCTTGTTCTTATTTGTGCGCGTGTAGAACCGCTTCACACGGCGATGCTCCATCTCGCCCTAGTTGGCCGTTCCCGACTCTTAATGAGCTGCCCTACGTCATGAGAGTTTGAAGCTCGCACCTGTTGTGTATTGACGCCATCGAGGGTACCAAACCACGGTATTGTGTAGGCATAGTGGATGAGAGAATGCCACTTGTATGTTAGAAGGTTCAGCATCTTGCGCTTACATCAGGAAAAATCACAATCCCTAGGTCAGCCAATATAGGGGACATAGTTGGTATAGGCTCATTGCAATCCCCCTTGTGTATAGCATGCTTGCAGAATCTGTAGTGATCTGTAGCATGTCATAGTACCACCATGGTCAACATAGAACAGCATAGTAGACAGTAGAATGATAGTAACATAGGTCCATATGCCAATATACTGTAACATATACCATCATAGTAGACATATCAAAGCATAGTACTGATCGTACAGATTGATTTGGTCGCTCACTGTTGTGACAGCTCATATAACAGAAAGAACATTAGATAAGATATATTAGATTGTGGAATGACAAAATGGTACAACTACGAAAATAAGTATCGTATGGGTAGACCCGACCCACTCGGGTACCAACCCACTGCAGCGCGTAAGGGTTCCATGCGGGTCCGCGCAGGCAGTGGGCGAGCGAGCAGAGCAGACATGCGGGCAAGAAGGTGCGCATGAGCAGGCGAGAGGGCACGCAGGTGACCGGGCAAGAGCAGCGCATGGTCGACCAGGTGAGTAGGTAAGCAGGCGAGAAGATGAGGTGCAACACGGCCGTCCGTCTTGCTGCGAGGGCGGGCATCCTACGTACGCGTGGTAGAGGCGCACGCTCCTCGACATGCACCTCGCATAGATTTAAGTCGCGGAGGCAGACGAGTTCGTTAGGACGAGAGAGCGAGCGGGCGGTCGAGAGAGCGAGCGGGCAGTCGAGAGAGCGAGCGGGCAGCCGAGAGAGCAGGCGGGCGGTCGAGAGAGCAGGCAGAGCAGGCAGGCGATCGAGAGAGCAGGCGGCAGGCGAGAGGGCGGCTGGGCGGGCAAGCAGCAAGCGGGCGAACAGCAAGCGGGCGAACAGCAATGCGGGCGGATAGGCAAGCAGACGAGAGGGAGAGCGAGCAAGCGAAGGGACGAGGGCGCGAGCAAGCGGACGAGTCGAGCGCACGTGGAATGCATCCAGAGCCTAATGAGTGGGAAATCACGTTTCGAACGGTCCACCCGGAGTGCATTTGGCCCGTTTGGAACGGTGGACCCGGGCTCGGCCGGAGCACTCCGGGTCCACCGTTCGGAGCGGCCGCCGGCAGCAACGAACCGGCCGGAGGTAGGGTGGTGGTTAGGAATGGTCCGGCCGGCTGTGGTGTAACGTTCCGGCCGGACCTCAGGCGAACGACCGGCCGGAGGCCTCGAAAAAAATAGGCTTCCTACGGTCCGGCCGGACACAGACCCAGCGTTCCGGCCGGACCCCTTGTCAACGACCCGGCCGGAGGCCTCGAAAAAAATAGGCTTCCTACGGTCCGGCCGGACACAGACCCAGCGTTCCGGCCGGACCCCTTGCAACGACCCGGAGCCGAAAAAAGGCTCTCGGCCGGACCAGACCGCCCCGACCCTGCCACGACCGGCCGGAGGCCTCGAAAAAAATAGGCTTCCTACGGTCCGGCCGGGGCTCATATCAATGATCCTGCGGGCCAAATCGGCACCAGAATTGTCAAGGGCAATCATCCAGACAACGTGACATCACATGAGATGGCGCATGCATGAACCAGCACCTAGCCGGGGTCACTTGAGCACTGACAACATCACATGCCTACAAACATGAGGCAAACACATGGTCACCACATGTTGCCCATCAGGTCCTCCACATCGTGCAAACTTGTCGCGCAACTCTTCTCCAATCCCCCCCACTCTCCAACATGACTACCGCACAGATCAGCACCCAATTTCGTTCCTACCTGAAGGGGACATATTTACACTGGCTGTCTCGCATGCAGGAGGGCCAGGCGATGAAGCCCGAGCCACTTCCAGGTCTCTTCCTGGATGTGTATATGATACGCCAGGCGACGAATGCTGGCAAGATGTTAGCTCAGGCTTATTGTAACCGAAGTGAGCTTCCATTGACCGCCATCGTAAGCTTGGCTAACACTCCACTTGGAGGGAGCGTTGAATGGGACGCATTGACTTATCCGATGACAACACCGAGCGATGAAGAAGCCGAGAACGTACAGTACGAGGCGTGCAAGGAGCCTGCGACCATCGAGGATAGCGCCGGCCGGATTCTTTTGTGGCATCTCCCCGGCGTAATCACACCGTACTACCAGGTATGCGAGATCGCCAGGCAGACATCACACCGGTTTTTAACAATCAAGCAGCAGTTCATATGGGACACCGCAGGTCAACTGGAACCGCTGTTCCTCCGCTACCCCCCACCACCACCGAGAAGTGGAGACAAGATATCAACAACTACCGCAATGCGGATGAATGTCCAATCTTCCCGCCGTCGTGCTTGTCTGCCTCGCCCGGCTGGTTTCAGCAGGGTCATACGGTGGGCATCCATGGCGTACTGATCATCATATGTTGTATTAATCCGCAACAGGGTACTACAGGTCCACCCCAGGTATCGCGGCTGCTGAGGGAACCGACCTCGCTCGCCCGACCGTGGCTCTCGGCGATGGAGCACCCCCATATCATCCTCTCGGCGATGCTCGAGATACTCCATCCGGACCTCTATGCAAGTGGCGTGGCGTCGATCAATGCACTGCGCAACGACCCGGACCGCGCTAGCGTCGCCGAGATATGGAACACGCCATTCAACGCCTTATCGGTGATTGCCAACCGGGCCAGTCCACTTCACCGAGACGTACTCTCGGCGAAGCACTGGTACGATATGATTCTCACGCTCGGCGGAGACAAGACCTTGCATATGGAGTATCCTACTTTGGGAATGAAGATGCCATACTACAGTGGCACTATGGAGGTATTTTCTGGCTGTCGCATACCTCATGCCGTACGGCAATCGACCCAGGAGCGCTTGTGCTTATCTTACTATATGCGTGAGGCGGTACATGCATGGACAAACGCTCCCCCGGCGGATTGGCGGATGGACTCGGAGTAGCTGTATAACCTTACACTGTGTTTACAATATATATGGAACTGTTGATGTGCTCGGCGGTTTCATCTTCACAATAACTGTACAGGTATAGCAGACAGTCTGGCCTAGCCAGCTGCCTTGCTGCCCAATCGTTCTGCCGGTGTTTGATTCGGCCGGCCGGGGCACATAAGAACATGAAAGCCTTCCCTGTCATATCACGAGATGTAAATACCGGTGCCAATACGACTGTACACTAATGGGACATCCCGACTATCCATCATGCGACTCTGAGACAGGACGGGGTGGCGAAGAGCCCGCCGCGGCACTCGGCGCTTCTCCTGGCTGCAAGACCGCTAACTCGGCCGCCTTCACTCGGTCCACCGCCCGCCAGTAATCCACCTCTGCCTGGATGTATAGATCCATGCCGGCCATCGATTCGCCGAGACTGTCCAACCAATTCAGGGCTTGGACTGGCACGTTTGGGGGCATGTTCTCCGGTGAGATCACACCTGGCTCGGGTATTTTTGGGAGCACAGGGAGGTGGATGCGGTCGGTGTGAGCTCTCACTTCGTCCTAGTTTTTATTGTATAAGTCCCATGTAATGTGAATGTGCTGTGTAAAACCTACCCGGAGCTTCTCCACATGCAGCCGGCCATCAAGATGCTGGAGTTGCTGTTGGGCGGCCTTCAATTGCTCGGCGACCATCTCTTGGATTTTGGCCTGCTCGGTCGTGATGTCATCGAGCGCATCTTCGATTTGATCCCGGACTTGAGGCGGATCTTCCATCCAGGCACCGACCTGCCCCTCTGTCGTGGCATGAATATCCGGAAAGGCCGGAGAGAATTGGTCAGTTACCTGGTTCACCAGAGTGCTCGGCGTGCAGCGAGGATGTCTCCGGCTGCGGCGGTTGAGCGACATCCGCCGCTCGGAAGCCGAGGATCATGTCCACCAGGACCTCCTCCTGGGTCTTACCCTCCGGCAGCATGATCGTGCAGTACTTGTCCATCACTTCCCCGAGACCCAGTTCCTCGGCCACATCGGGCTTCATCAGCCGCTCGAAGCCGAGCATCATGGCCGCCAGCGACTAGTGCATCAGTGGTTACTATGGTGCAGACACGTAAGTATGGATTGATCGCACCGTATAATGGATCATTGCTATGTATGGTAATTCTCCATTCTCCGTCGGCTCCGTCGGGCGCAACTCCTGCCGGGCGAACTTGCCGAGAAGGTCCTTTGCGGTACTGTTGAGAAGAGGGCCGAGGGTGGAACGCATAGTGCAGCAGTGATTGAAAGGTAGCGGGGTGTTGTGGTGCTCGGTGCGCTTCGGCAATGAAGGTTAAGAGCAAATGATACGATCGTTATCTTCAACAAGCCACACACCCATCACATGCCCGGTGTGGCTCGCACGTGCTGAGGCACCACCGGCGGTTCCGCATAAGGTTAAGTGTCACAACACACGTGCCGAGTGTTTGCCGACACGGGGATCTTCCCAGGGTTGTGTGTCACTGTGGCGCATTAGTGGTGGACAGTGCCTCTTGCACATCATCCACCACCAAAAGTACTGTTCACTCAGCATGGCCCTGGATATGGTAAGTCATCGGCCGGCCGAGACAATCTCCCTTGGCTGATACACAATAGCATCCCCGCTCTGGACCATATCCCTGGCTGAGGGGAGAGTTGATGGTGTTTGCATTTTCAACCGCGTGAGCAAATCCCACGGTTCATCCTATCTGTTTTTACTGACTAAATGTTGCAGCCACGCCGAGGTAGTGCCCTTCCGTCCAAATGCATACACTATCAGCCGGTATTTCTTCGGGCATGTGGTCATGTCAGTGACCCACGAGAACAGCCGAGAAAGTGTGGAGATGCCGGAGATGGACGGCCGGCTGGCATTCCTCATGATGCTCATTGATTGGGTGGAGATCCGGGACAATTTGATTGATACCTGAGTTGATGTTTTGTCATTTGCTCTCTTTTGTAATTCATTATGCTTTGCTGCCTACTTCTCACAACTGAAACTTATATATTGGGTAACTTTTCTAACACCCAGAGACTGAGCACAACTCTCAGGTTATGTCTGAGTTGATCAGCGCTGACAATCCCTCTAACTCAGTCAGCGCTGACAGTCCCTCTATACGAAATGAGGTGTTTTCATCGCCACCAACACCATAATTGGGCACAGGGACCCGCTTGTCTATCCGCCCGGCAAAAGGATGCTCTCTCTCGGCCGGGACTTCGGTCGTTTGCTCGGCCCGAGACTTCGGCCGTTTGCTCGGCCCGAGACTTCGGCCGTTTGCTCGGCCCGAGACTTCGGCCGTTTGCTCGGCCCGGGGTTTCGGCCGTTTGCTCGGCCCGAGGGTTCGGTGCTTCGCTCGGCCCGAGGGTTCGGCGGTGTGCTCGGGCGGAGTGGTTTCGCACATGAAGGGACGAGGAGGGCGAGAGTATGCGTTGTGGTTAATGCCATTGAGACATGATTGGCCAGGGTCGGGCGTCTTGGGGTAGCTTACTAAGTCTCCTCGGTGTATGTACTCGGTGTTGTCTTGCAGGCAACCCTTCAGCACCATGGTCGGCCGGAAGCTTTAACGTTCTGCTCGGCAGGCCATGGTCGCAACATACAGTCCTGAATTCAGCCAAAGTTCAATATATTCGTTAACATAAACTGCCGGGTCTCACTACGTAAAAATGTTCGGGTCAGCATAAACATCCCTATACGTCTGCTGAGCATCTCGGTATAAACGGTCGTACATCGCGGCACGCTTCCGGCAGTACGGAGCGAACCCTGCATAATCATCGCCTGGGTGCTGGATAGCCCGGTCTCTCCACATCTCGGCGTGGTGAGAGAAATACCTCCCCACCGAATCAAGTTCCCGGCGTAAGATGCCGGCCTCTTCTTCCAGGCGATCAACTTTGGAGCGTGCGTGGAACCAGTGAATCCGGTGAACTATAATACCGGTGAGACATATGGCGGACACGCATGGAGTGTACTGCTCACTGATTGAGAGTGTATCATTCCTGTCGAGATCTCCTCCGACATCGATATTCCAGATCCATGACGTCGATTTGTGCCTCTGGCCGGGCTTGTTTGGTTCGGCGATGGCGGTGGTGACATTGAGGTCCTCTTTACTGAGACGCTGATACTTGAGTTGCTCCTCCTCTGAGAGACCGAGGACCACCATGGCAGCTCTGCACCTCCGGTAGATTGACGCATGAATAGAGACGGCCCGGTCGAGCTTGTTCATTGTGGTGAATGCTCGGGTGCGCTTGGTGTTGGACTTGCCATGCCGAATGCTGGTACGAAACTGAAAAGACTTGTGGCCCAGAAGGAGGCGGAGCTGGTGGAGCGCATCATTGGCTTGCCCACGCCGAAGGGTGAGTTCCTGCTCGGCCAGACGTTTCAGACTCTCATCATCAAACACGACAGGAGATAAGTTGGATGGGAGCCCGAGCGGGGTCTGCTCGGCCATGTTCTCGCTGTGCGGAAGCTTCGGCCGGCTGGTGAACATACTCCATGGGCCGTGTGGCTCCCGGGCGACGACCGGGCCTTCATCCTCCCATTCCTCATCATCTGCCTCGGATTCATCAACACCCCAGTCTGCCCGGTGGCTGATTGCGTTGGCTTGCCGGTGAAACCGTCGGATTCGTGTCTCCAGGGCCTTCCGACGTTGAGCGAGCTTCAGTTGCTGAGGCTTGGTGATCTTTTCGCCTTGCTGCTTGACGTCTCTTCGGATGGTAAGTCTGTTGGTGCATTAGCATGACCTCGTACTGCGGCATACAAGACATACTGTAGCTCCTCAAGCTTGAGGCCCTCGGCGATCCACTCGGCAGTCCCGACAATCCGGCCACCGTTTCCTTCGGCCTCGGTGAGCTGTACCAGGAGGTCTGTCTGAGTGGGCACTGCAATGTTCAGGGAGTTATGTCACCGTGCGCCCGGGTCTATCGCATGCACTCACAATTGGTTTCTTCACAAGGTATTTGTCCATCGCTTTACATTGGTGAGGCGCCGGCGTTGAGCGATGTTCAATTCGCGCTTCCAGCTCTGCAGAGTCTCGGCGTTCAATCCTGACTCCTTCGCCGAGAGGTCCTGTTTCATCTCGGCGAGCAGGGGCCGGTTCGCCTTTATCTTCCTCCTTAGGGATGCCACTACCGGTTGTTCAGATGATGAGGATGTGGCAGTGGAAGCCCCGGCGACGTACCCATGGTAATCATTTTCTTCCAGTTCCAGTCATTCATGTGCCGGTCGAGTGTTTCCTGCCGGTGGACGTCGACATCGTCCGGGTGCTGCCAGAGATACGATTTGTCGTCGACCACTGTGTTTCGATGATTTCGCCGTCGACCTCGCCGGCGCCCTTTGTGAAGGTCAGCGAGTGTCGGACCTCGCACACTGCCTGATGGCCGTGTACGTGGAAGAGGCCGATGCACTTGTACAGCACCAGACCGCTGGGCATTGAAGATGGGGGTTACCCGCAAACCGTTTGTCGAGATACACATGGTACTGGCAAATGATGTCATAACATAGGTAGACGTGGGTGAGGCCCTTGGATTGATACCCGAGGGCATTTGATAGGGAGTAATCCATGTTCATTTGGCGCTCCCCTTTCTGAAAGTTCACCACCGAATGAGGCACGAAGCAGCCGTGTCTGGCACACGATGTTGCACCTATGCCGGTGACTGCCAGCTTGTGTCTGTCGGCGTTTGCCTGCGATACCGCTTTATGATCGTGGCAGGTGGAGGGCTGTCCGCTCGTCAACACCGGGCCGAGCGTTATTGCCCGAGTGGTAAAGCTCACCATCTTGACTTCTTTCGCCACCAGCAGGTGGTCCTCGTAAGGCCCGGGGTTGACCATAAACATCTTTCCCGGCATAAGAGGAACATCGTTCCCTGGATTCCGCATCCGCATCTGCTCAGCGTGGAAGTTTCCGTCCATGACGTACGTTCGGGCGTACAAATAGCTGCCGGCGCTGTCAGCTTTCGCAGAGTACGTGCACGCATCAACTTACTCTCGGTCGTCGGCCTGCCACTCGTGTGGGATATTTACACCGGGCTGCGGGCATGCAGCACAGAAATTCGCAAGGTCACCGTCTCCCGGAACCCCACGCCAGGCCGGCCCGTACCCATGCTCCTTCTTGGCTTGCAGCAGGGTCCACTCCCGACTCACTCTGAGGAGCTCCAAATATCGGTCCTTGTCACTCGTGAGCCATGTCCTCGCACCTCTTACAGAGAACCGCACACTTACCGGCACCTCATGGGGGAACACAGGATCAGTGACTCGGCGAAGACGCCGGTAGTAGTTCATCGCCGTCGTCTTGCACTCAAGGTTGTCGAGCAGGAAGTCATCGAGCACGGTGAATGTGAAGCACGTTCGAGCGGCACGTTGACTGGCCGGATACAGGCCACAGTCAAGGAGCTGAGAGGTATGACTGGCCGCGCCGGCGCATCCACACCATCTCACCGGCAGAAAGTGTATGCCGGTCGTGTCGACGATGGTCATCATGGACGCCGGTGGTCTTGGTGGAGGGTCGGCATGTCGCAAAGGATCGTCCTGAGCAGCCTCCGGGTCGTTTTCTTCTTCCTCGGCCGGCCGTTCTCATCGTCATCATCGACGTCGGCGAAGGGCTCAGGGACCGGGCAAGGTGCACCTCGGTGACCCAAATTGATGCACAGCCCGACATCCTTCAACCAGGCAGGGGCCCAGTAGCCCTCAATCCTCCACTGCTCCACTCGGTGGAATGGTGTTCGGCGGTGCTGGGTGAGACAGCAAGTGTGACAGTAAATGGCGAACCGATGCACGATGAACACTTCCACACGCCGCCTCCGCTACTGCAGCTTGCGCACTCGAAGGTGCCTTCTCGGCCGGTCGTTGGGGGCTTTGACTGGCCATAGACAGACCTGAGGTATGTATTTGCAGAGGGATCCACTCCCGTAGCATTTGGGGTTGAGTCTAATGAATAATGTCATCACCGACATTGCTTGTGCTGATCTAACTATCGTACCTGGGGAGCCCCTTCGCGCTGGTAAAAGATCGAGGAATATATTGTTAGGAGGCTCGTCATCCTGCTCCTGTCTCATCCAGCTTGACTGCCTCGTGGATGGCTGCGAGCGCCGCTGAGGAGTCGGCGGTGGTGTTTGCAATACATTCGTTTTTACGGGAACGATGCGGGACTTAACTCCCCGCTTGGTTCTCGTCCTCTGTATGGCAACCTCCACCACAGTAGGGGAGCTTGCCCTCGGCAGTCGAGCCATCGTCCAGCCTGGAAAGCAAGGCTTCAAGGAGGTCGGCCGTTTGTAACGGGCCGGCCGGAGCACCCGGATGATGCGAGAATATCGGTGGACAGGGGGGAAAAACCAATGAGATTCATTGGACCCCCATCGGTGCAACTGTCACACCACTGCCCGTCACCCGCACCCGGCTGTCTGTTTGCGGCGATGGGTCCTCGGTGATCCGGCCGGAACGGCTGATGGAATATGTGTTACCGGTCGCAGATTTGCCTCTAGTGAACGAAGCACAACACCCGACATCAGACAACGGTCCGGGAGAACCACCTTTGGCTCCGTAGCAATTGATGCGGCCGGCAATCACAGGTTTCGATCGTCCCGGCCGTTGATCCGAGTCACGTGCTCACGCCCAGGCATTGCTTGGCCACCCTGGTGTCGTGGTTGGGGCACATTCCAGTCACCGAATTGATGAAAGTGACTCGGGTCATATGGGATGTCTGTGTCGCCGGCCGCTTGGCCCCTACGAGTGGAGCGGAGAAGCCGCCCCGGTTCTATTCCAGAACGTGCCACCCGTGGTCGGTTGCTTCGTTACAACGATCCGGCCGGGCGCCGAGCCCTCGGAACGGGTGCCCCGGGCTGCGGGCTTCCACTCAGCGGCGGCTGGTCGTAGTTGCGCTGCCCCGTGGTGTCACATTGCTGTCACTGAGCGGTTTTGAGTTTCGACTTGGGACCAAATGGTCCGAGCGATGACCGGCCGGGTTTCTAACGGTCCGGCCGGTGGTCTGCCTCAAGATGTTTGCGGCCAAAAAAGCATTAATGTACAGTGACGACCGACACAATGAATGTAGATATATCTATACTAACATAAATGATGCAGAGAAAGGGCAAAGCCCCGGTACAAAATCGTAGACTATTTGGTGACTGGTCATAAACGTCGGTGTTCGTTTGGGTGACTGGCGCCGAAACACATCTCTTCCTCAAGCCTCCACTTGTGCCTCCTCCGCAAAGCCCACTCTTCCTTGCAACGTTCCTCGTCCCTTGCCACAATGGGAAGGTCCTACTGGCAGAAACGCGACCTCGACGTCCTCAATCTCCGCCTGGAGGAATGGCGGAAGCTTCCGGAGGATGGCGAGCAGCGAGGGGAGATTGTCGCCGAGGCCGTTGACAAGCTAGGGAAGATCAGGGGGTACCCCCTTGACAATGTAATGCGAGAGGTAGGTACCGCTCTACCTGCAGTGTATTCATACTCATTTTCTGCAGGAAGTTGGGCAGTGGTTCGCTAACCACGAGACCGACACGGAGGATAAGGAGCCGGTGAGGAAGGACCTCATCAAGCTCGGCAAGGACCTCTCATGGCGCACGGTCTGTGCCCAAGCTCATGAGCAGGAGCTGGAAGAGCTGATAAAGAAGCATGGGAACGGGAGGGAGAAGGACACAAAGCTGTATCCGTCCATCTACCAGACTGCGCTGAAGGAGCTCTGCGACGGAATTCGCCCCCTCGACGAGGCGAAGTACCGGAAGACCGCCGCCGAGTACAACGCCACCGTGTGGCCGAGGGAGTACCAGTACAAGCACCTCGCTAGGCACGGCAACGGGATGGTGTCCGAGTTCGTTCAGCTGATGTGGAGGAAGTGTGGGGTGAGGGTGTTTGTGCTCGGGGCGTACTTGAGAGAGGACGGACAGACGGGGAACATGCAGTACGTGTAGTGTCCAGACGCATTGGACATGTAGAAAGATGACGAGGACTAGATGGGACTATAACAATGCGTATCCTCGCAGCGGACCAGGCACCGAGCCACCAAATTTTATCCAGGTCTTCAAAGATTTCCGGCGGGGCAACACGTACGAGATGTGGAAGAAGTACGCCGAGGACGCATTCAGTGAGTGTGCCCAGCATATGCTACGTGCTGGTGCTCAACGTATTCGCTCAGACGCCAACGGGTTTGAAGGCGAGGAGAGTATCGTCCCATCGAAACTGATCGACCGCATCGAGTGGAAGTTCGACGATGACGGGTATCCCATCCTGCCGCCGGCCGATCACGAGTGCTTCAAAAAGACCGATCACAAGCGTATGTTCCTGAGTACGTTTGTCCGCATGACATACGGTGAGCGCAATGAGTCCAATTCCCTATGGCCGGCCACTCACCTCGGAGAATACAATAGCTCATTACACCCGGCGCGAGAACATCAGGGTGCCGTGGCAGTCCCTGTCGGAAAAGTCGGAGGAGTTCTTCGAGGACGGCTATCTGCCGGCCGGCGTTGTTCTCAGCGACCCGAACAAGATCCGCGCTGGGGACCTCGATGCGGTCCTTCGTCACTGGCGTGTGAGGCAGGATGCCGACGACGGAGAACCTGTGCTCCGCTTCAAGGCTTGGAGGAACGCGGCGAAACAGATCGTGGAGGTCGAGGACGAGGAGGAAAGGGTGAGCTCACCATCTCCGGCGCCCGAGCCTAAGCGGAAGCCCCAACCTAAGCCGAGACGCCGCCGTGCTTCCCCGGCCGCCCGACGTGCCTCTCGCCGAGCCAAGTCAGACACGCCGGTGGACTCCTCAGACGACCAGGAGGCCTCGAGTGTGGACTCTGATGCTGTGGGCCATGGGTCGTTGTTCGAACCCGCAAAGGACCTCGATGGTGCCTCCAGTGACGAGGAGAGCCATGACGAGGACTCTGATCACGCCCCCGAGGAGGTCGTGGTGGCCCGACCGAGCAAGGGCAAGGGCCGGGCGGTGATCGCTGCCTCCAGTGACGAGGACGACGAGGAGGCTGTCCCGATGCAGACGAAGACGAAGGAAGGCCGAGGAGGAGGTCCATCTAAGGGGGCTCAGAAGAAAGGTGGACAGTCGGTGGGTGGAAAGAGTGCAGGGGGCGGGGCAGGGAAGACCAGCAAGGGGAAGGATAGCACGAGATCCACACAGTCGGCCGGCGCATCACGCAACCAGGCCGCCGGTGACCAGCCGGTGGTTAGCACAGGGTCGGCCGGGCAGTCGGCCAAGCCAAAGTCTGGCGGTCGTGTGTCCAAGAAGAACCGTGGTTAGTCTCATCACAACGGGCGACTCGTGTACGCAAAGCTAACATCCTTATACTATTGTGCAGACACCGTGGCCGAGGGTAACGACGAAGACGCCGGTGAAGAGGGCGATGTCCCGGTGCAAGCTCCGGCCCCCGCAAAAGCACCGAAGCCAGCCACGGCGAAGAAGTCTACCACGGCCCGCCCAAAGCAGTCAACCAAGAGTGACAGCGACGCCGAGGATAACGAGGAAGCTGATTCGCCAGCTGCCGGTCCGTCATCTCATTTCTACAGAGGGACAACTTGCTGACATCACAAGCAGGCCCGCCGAAGAAGAACACCGCCGGCGCCGAGCCGAGCGGTAGCAAGCCCGGCCCACGCATTCAGAAGGGCAGTCCGGCGAAGGTCGCCTCGGATGTGGATGCCCGGCGCAAGTTCTTGCAGGTTCTCTGTGGCGACGACGAGATTGGCAAGATGGTGAAGGCTGCTCTGAAGCTTGTGAGTAACGTCCTGTACTCCCTCCGAAAAGCATGCTCACTCAATCGTACCAGCCTGACCCGGGACTTGGCACTCGACAACCAAGTGGGAGTGGGCCAGCTGGTCGTACCGCCGAGCAACGTGCCCCTCCTCCATCCACAACGACAAGAAGGAACTGACACAGTTCCGCCGATGGCTCACAACGATGGAATCGTCCCTCGGCGAGAATGTCATGGCGCGCGATGATGGTCTGCTGGTAACACTGGCTGTGGGTATGCTGATCCACGACATCGAGAGCAAGGACGTCGCCCCGAGCTTGAACCACGGAGTCCCGCAGTATGTGCTCGATTCCCACTTGGATGCTGCAGTTGCCGCGGACCTCGTCAAGCGTTGCAAGAAGATTCGGGCTCGCTGGGAGGCAGGATCCGCCACTGGTTCCAAGCGGCCCTCCGCTGCGGTCGATGACGAAGAGCTCGGGACTGGGAAGCGGACGAAGAAGCCCCGCACCGAGCCTGGGCCGCCGGCCGGTCATCCAAGCCCTCAGGCAGCAAGGCTCCGGTTAAGCGTGGCTCTCGGGGGAAGAAGTAGACAGTCTGTACACGCATTGTTTTACCACCGACGCATTCACGAAATCACATTACGACGTTCCGTGTATCTCACAGTGCAGCCAACATGACAGGCACCGGCCGGCGGTCACTCGGGCCGAGACTTTTCACAAACTCTCGGCCCGACGATTTCACCGAACTCTCGGGCCGAGCGCGATGCAAACTCTCGGTGGTCACAATGTAAACAAACCACGCTAAAGCTACCATGTATTCAACAGTGCAGCCAAAATGACAAGCACCGCCCGGCGGTCACTCGGGCCGAGACTTTTGACAAACTCTCGGCCCGACGATTTCGCCGAACCCTCGGGCCGAGCACGATGCAAACCTTCGGCGGTCACAATGTAACACACCACGCTGAGGTCAACATGATGGTTGAGCAGCAGATGGACTGTGAATTACACAGTGGCACAATGTAATCTTGGACTTTCTGAGGTGTGGGTCATGGACCGACATATCGACTTGATGTCTCGGCCCGGGCAAAATGCGATACTCTCGGCCCGGCAGTTCTTACAAGCACTCGGCGGGGGAGAAACTTCCTGTTAAGTGTACACATCCGACATTCCAAGTTCATGTGTCATTTCATTGTAAGTGTGCAGCGGAAGCGATACATTGTACAGAGTGGTAATTACATTAGTGCAGCCTACACGAACTCGGACCCTTACTTTGCTTGGCCCGGCGCATTCCCCTCGTCAACATCCATCGCATTCTCGTTCGCCGGGTGATTCTCCTCGGGGATGACGACGGCACGCTGGCTTGGGTGCTGTTGAGGGCCGGAGCTGAGACCGACGGAGTGGGAAAAGTGGGCGCGGGACGAACCTTGCCAAGTTCGCTCGGATACCTTCCAGAACAGCCGGGGGGGTCGCGTGCGTGTTCCCAGCAGGAATGGGGTCGCTGCGCCGCCGGCTCTGATCGGGCAGTCCCGGCAGACCCGGTCACCTTGTCTTGCCCAGCAGGCACCTCCGGACCGCCGGCCATGCTGACATTCGGGGGCGGAGGGGCTGGGGACACGGGCCCAGCGGCGGAGCCGGTCACCTCGCCTTGCCCAGGAGGAATGTCAGATCCCCCGCCCACGGTGACTTCGGGGGTGGAGGGGCTGGGGACATGGGCCCAGCGGCGGAGCCGGTCACCTCGTCGTGCCCAGCAGGGACCTCGGGACCTCCGGCCACAGTGTCATTCGGCGGCGGAGGGGCTGGGGATGCGGGACCGGCGACCTCTACAGGGTCAGTCACCTCGTCGCGAGGCTCCGGCACGTCTTGCGCACCGGGTGGGGACTCGCCGAGGTCACCATGCGACTCAGTGGACGAGTCGTCCGATTCATACGCGGGGCCCGGGTCCGCACCTCCGGGATATTGAGGAACCGCGCCGACGAACATCTGGTCGGCCGGCTCATGCTCTTCCAGCATCTCCTTGATGAGCTCGCGGTAGTCCACATTCTCGCTGTCGAGGATTGCCCGGGCTGTTGGAAAGCATCAGCATTAGATTTTCAAAACACATTGAGAACTTACCGAGAATTTCCTGACGTGCTCGCATAGCACGGTCCCTGGCCTCCATCGACTCAAGCCGCTCCCGGAGGTCCCGGACATTCGATTGGAGCTCGCGGATGCGCAGCGCCGCGAGTGTTGGATTCAGGTCGTCCTCCTGGAGGACATCGATCGGGCCCCCGAACTCCACAACTCACGCTTCCTGTCAGCGACTAAAATGGGATAGATGCGACCTGCATCATCAGCACACAATACGAGAATGAGACGTACATGCACTTACGAATGTCGGCGACGTCCCGGACAGGACCCTTCGTCTTCCTCGTACGCACGGGCTTCTGCTGGACCTCAGAGCTGGGCCCAGCCTCCGCGTTCTCCTGAGGCGCCGGCGTAACGGCCGGCGATTGTTTGACCGCCTTCTGCGCCTTCTTGCCAGCCTTCTTGGCGATGGTTGTCGGTCGCCGAGAAGGTGTACCCGCCCGTCGAGAGCTGCGCCGGCTGCCGTGAGACGTGACCGAGGCAGTGTCAGCCCGGTCGAGCTCGTCGTCAGTCGTGGGCGGAGCTTCCGCCTCGCTTTGCGGCTCGTCGGTGCCCTCGGACTCTGTGCCAGAGCCGGCCGAGGAACGTCTCTTCGAGCCCTTACGCCCGCGGGACTTCTTGGGCTTAAACGTGCCCTCGGTGTCGATGGGCTCGCACTTCACCTTCTTGACGTTGCAATAGTCGCATGCCGGCGGTGGGTCCTTCATGGTGCCGTCCTTCTTGAATTCGTAGCCCTCCGGTGTTGAAATATAGCAAGGGAACCCCTTGCATTGGGTGCATGGGTCCGGCTGTGTAAGATGTGAGTCACGATGAGACCGAGACCTTGTACCAAACATACCTTCTCACGCCGGTGGACGAACTGTCGAACCTTCCCAGGCACGTACTCCATCTCGAACTTGGCCCGCTCGCCGTGGACCTCCTCTGTCTTCTTCACGAGGATGCCCTTCGGTGGCTTTGAGCCTGGTATAGATGACGGTTAGAATCCAACAAGGCAAGGTGAACACGACGTACCTTTCGCCCGCTTTTTCTTCGGGTGTTCCTCCTCGTCCATCTCCTGCTCGGTCTCCTCGTCCTGATGTCCAGCCGCCCGCTCGTTGTCGCCTTGCTCATCCTCGGGTGATTGCGCGCGCTGTTTGCCCTTCGATTTGCGAGTAGGAGTCGGCGCCCGCTTGCGCTTGGTACCCGCCGATTCGGTCCGTCCAGGGCCCGGCGTCTTCTTGCTCGACGCGGTCTTCTAGTCTTGCGAGGTGGGGTCTTCTCGACCTCGTCGACATCCATCCCGTCCTCCTTCACCGGGACCTCCTCCTCACCGTCGGAATCCGCCGCTAAGTCCTGGAAGCGCACCGTCGTCGAAGGCTGACGAGACGGGCCGGGAACGGGGGTCGGCGAGCGAGGGCGTTCAGGGAGGCCAGACGGCGCACGAGGATTGCGCCACGCCGAGGTGAGGACCCGTGGATCGTCCGGACGGATGCGGGACAGTTTGAGGCCTTCCCTCGGCGAGTGGTCCAGCTCGAGAATCGCTGAGAGCAGGAACAGCGGCACCATCGGCCGCTGCTCGGGAGGCTCGCCCGCCGTCCGACCGCTCACAACTGCATGGACCGCCCCGTACTACCACAAACGTCAGGGACCGAAAGAGCGATATATGTGCGTACTTACCACACATTCAATGAACTCTCCAAGCTACAGGTGAATGGTTAGATTCCTGGACGAGCTTACATGAAGCCCTGGGTACTCACAATCTCCTCTGCCAGCGCCGCCTCATCCTCCTGCCTCACCAAACCATTCCCCATCATCTTCAGCAGCTTGGCGTTCGTGATTTCCAGGAAATGATTGAGGTGGGGGCGAGGCATTCTTAGGCCGGCAGGAGCCGGCGCGGTTGCTGACGTGGCGGGGGTGGTAGACGCGGCAGACATGGCAAGCAAAATCGAGCAGGGGCCGAAGCAAGTGTGGAGGTGCAGCGGAGAGGAGCCGGGATGCGAGAACGCGATGGTGAACGCGGAGACAAAGGAAGAAGAGCGCCGGCGATCACGAACTTAGCAGCCACACTGCAGCCACACGGCGCACGTGACTCCGGTGATGCCGCGGGAGCGCTAATGGGCGATCAACTTGGTGATCGCTCGCCACACCTCTTCCTCCTGACCACTTGCGTATCCTCAACCCATCGTATCAACAATGGCCAAGCAAGGTATGTCCCCGGCCCAATCGCCGGGGCCTACCACTCATAACCCTTCTTCCAGCCTCTCGCAAGAAAACCGGCGGCCGTGACGTGTCAACTCGTCGGCAGGGATCGCGTGGCGGCCGGAACGCCCGCCAAGCATCGAGAAGCCCAATCGGGCTTGATGATGAGGTACGTACCGCCGCGATCTGCTCATCACGCTCCAGTTGACGCATCCTCGGTAGCCGATTCACCCTGCGCCGGGTCCCAATGTTCACGGAGCTAATACGGGTGCCGGTCACAGTGGCGGGCAGGCTGTCCCCGGCCGACTATTCAGCATTCCGAAGGACGAGCCCGGCCGACTCTTCAACATTCCCAAGGAAGAGCCCGGCCGACTTTTCAATATTCCGAAGGAAGAACCTGCAGATGCGATTCTGGTATGTGGACTCATGCCGAGTAATTGAGCAATACTAACCTCCGCTACCTACCAGCCAATTGCCACCCACGCAGCATCCGGCCGGAATGTTCACGGACCGAGGACAGATGCCGGTGGCAGTGGGGAACCAATCGCCCCGGGCAAGTTCTTCAACATTCCAAAGGAAGAGGATGTGGAGATGGCCGTGGTACGTGTATTCTCGCCGAGCAGTTCAGCCTCATACTGACGGAAGCTGCTGCTAGCTTATTGCAGGTCCAGAGCGTGCTCGCTCGGCGTCGGTGGCTCCACGCCTATTTGGAATCCCGATGGAAGTTGATTCGGACGTTGGTACCGACGAGAAGGTGAGTCTCGGTTGAAGGTTGACGGTGTGCATGTACTCACCAACATGCGCATAGGTGCCTGTCGAGTCGGCGCTGGCGACGGTGAGAAGGGGAGGAAGCTTGTTCGGCATCCCAACGGAGGATGAGATACCGGTAAGTTCAATGGTCTGTTCACAATGATTTTCGCTGATTTCCTGCCAGCAGGACATGGATCCGCTTGTCGCGAAGATGTTGGCAACAACACTAGCATCGCGGGCCGGGAGCTCCGTTGCACGTAGTGAGGTGTGTCATACCCACCGTTGCCCGACAAAGCAGATACTCACATTGTGCTCGGTGTAGTCGCCGCAAGAGCGTGTGCCCGCCAAGGTGGATGGCCGTGCGCACAGCCGGAAGCTATTCAACATCCCGATGGAAATCGCTGATGAGGTAAGTCCCGGCACTCACTCGGAGCAGCCAGAAACTCACTGCCGGTAGACCGCCACCGACGATCATGAGGGGTCCCTTCCGCCGGGCCCGCCGAGCAGGGGAACGGACGAGCCGGCCGACGCTCAGAAGATACAAGCTGACGAACCGGCTGGGCGTGGCGCAAGGGCCGCAAGCTGCGACTCCGACGTCGTGATCACCGGATACACGCCCGCACCACTGACGCACGCCAGCAACGACTCCGACATCGAGATCACGGATGGCCGACCGGACAACAGGAGCACCTCGAGCGGCCGACACGCTGATGGTAAGGCCCTCCGGGTGCCGGCCTTCCCCGAATTTTCAGGGTATCAGAAAAGCGCACCGGTGGGCCCGAAGTTCGGCGAACTTGGTTGGGTGCCACCGCCTTGGAGGCGTGACATCAGCCCTTGGACGGGGTTGCGGCATCCCCGGGGTCGGGGAGCAATGTGCTTGGAGGCGTTAGCCCCAGCACAGGTGAGGAAGAAGGCACCCGCAAGGACAAAGGAAAGTCCCGTGAGTTGCCCGCCGAGCCTGACAGGATGGTCCCTGCCAACATTACCAGCACCCTTGCTCCACACCATGAGCAAGACGATGCATTTTTCACCTTCGCTCCGACTGCGACGAATGCGTTCAATCCGGCTCCGGAAACCCGTACGTACTCATTTCATTTGCTCATACATAGACACGCTGACATCCATTTCTTTGTGTCAGATGGCGGTCTGACCGGCGCAATGTCGTCACGAGTGCTGGAGTTGGCCGCCGAGCGTGCCGCGGTGATGGCACACATCGATTCGTTGTTGGCACTGCAGCGCGCAAACAACCAAAACAGGGCGGCAGTAGCATGGGTGAAGGAATGGTATCGCGAGGCGAGTGGTTCACGGTAGACAGATTTGTAATGCTCTGTACGACCGCCGTTGTTCAATGCATCACATACCTCGGCTGCAAAAAGTAACCGGCCGTACCTACCTGAGTTGCACTCGCCGGCCGGACCGTTAGAATCCACGGCCCGAGGTCGGTACCTTCACCCATAGTTGTGACAATACCTGAGTCGCACTCGCCGGCCGGACCGTCAGAATCCACGGCCCGAGGTTGGTACCTTCATCCATGTATGAGGCAATACCTAAGTCGCACTCGCCGGCCGGACCGTTAGAATCCACGGCCCGAGGTCGGTACCCTCATCCATAGAGAGCCGAGGCGGTACCTTCATCCATCACTGAGGCGATACCGAAGTCGCATTCGCCGGCCGGACCGTCAGAATCCACGGCCCGAGGTTGGTACCTTCATCCATGTATGAGGCAATACCTAAGTCGCACTCGCCGGCCGGACCGTTAGAATCCACGGCCCGAGGTCGGTACCTTCACCCATAGTTGTGACAATACCTGAGTCGCACTCGCCGGCCGGACCGTCAGAATCCACGGCCCGAGGTCGGTACCCTCATCCATAGAGAGCCGAGGCGGTACCTTCATCCATCACTGAGGCGATACCGAAGTCGCATTCGCCGGCCGGACCGTCAGAATCCACGGCCCGAGGTTGGTACCTTCATCCATGTATGAGGCGATACCTAAGTCGCACTCGCCGGCCGGACCGTTCGAATCCACGGCCCAAGGGCGGTACCCTCATCCACACATGGGACCATCCCTGAATCCCTGGTGGACCGCCACCGGCCGGACCGTTGGGAATGGTGTATTATATATGGAGGCTGTAGCCCCGCACATCTGGATTGACAACACCGGCCGGACCGTTGGACACCATGCCTGCTGGTGAGCGACCGCACCGTCTAACTCATGGGTGTCGTCCCTAAGCTCCGACCGGAGCCCCCACCCATGATCACCCCACTCGCTCCGGCCGCACCGTCCATTGAGAACATGCTGAATTCCCGGCCGCCACGTTGAGAATCAATGCTCAAAGTGGATACCCTGCTGCGGCCGGACGCCCCCGGCCGCGCCGTCCACTCGCCGCGCGCTGAATGTCCGGCCGCCACGTTGGAATTCAGGGTTCATAGTGGAACCGGCTCCGGGCCAATCGTTTGATACGGGTCGGTCGGTACTCGGCCGGACCGCTAGAAGCCCGAGACGTGCAGCCCGGCCGGACCTCTGTATACGGCAGGTTACCTGCTCCGGCCGAGCCCGGGCCTACCGTTACAAACGGGCCAAATGCACTCCGGGTGGACCGTTAGTAACGGTCAAGTTCCACTCAGTAATGTGAATTGCGAGCTGTAAGGATTGTCCAATTGAACTTAGGAATAAATTTGGGCTTACTTTGTGATGGAGGTTTCACGGTATCTGAAGATGGAAAGAAGATTCGTTGCCAAGTTTGTATGTTGCACGACCCTCTGCAACGCAATACGTGGATGAAACGTGGATCTGAAAAGACGCACCTCAACTCTCTGGGTCATCGACGTGCAGGTGAAGCGGATGAAGCTGTGCGTATGCAACAGGAGATGTCTGCAGCGCGTGCGGCCGCCTCTGAACCTGTTGAAGCTGTCGAGCTGAATGCAGTTGATATCCCCGATTCTGGCCCCAGCGCATCACAGCCAATGAAACGTAGTGCGGCAGAATTAGCAATGTGGGATGATGATGACGGTGCCGACTTCCAAGTTGACGATCTGGACCAAGATTTGAACACTGCAGCCACAGAGGCACAGGAGAGGCTCCGACGCGAGGCCGAGACGTTCGGCCTGTGGAATCCGGTGCTTGCTGCTCGAGAGACAGGGTTTGGAGATGCGGAGAGCGGAGAGATACTGAGAGATATGTTGGGCGAGGATCCAGAAGGCAATGATATTCTAGATGAGTTGCTGCGAAATGCTGGTAAGCATAGTGTCTCAACTCTCAGTCTATGTTCGCATTTCGCTCACATGATGGGTATGTAGCACGGATGCATGATGAACATCATGATGAGATGAACAACGATCCTTCTCATGAATCAGGAAATCCAGAGGACCATTCCCGCAGCTGGTTTCCGTATGAATCTAAAGTTGTAAGTGTTCCGACAGACCAGATTGTATGGCATACTCACAATACTATCTCGGTATGCGTCTCTCTTTCAGATGTTCCTCCTGGACATGATCGATAATCTCCCCCGGTTGCGGATATCCAGCTCGCTGATGCGTGTTCTGTTGTGGGTCCTGAAGGAGATGGGGGTGCGTCATGTACCATCTTTGGATCGCCTCCGAAAGGTGCAAAAGGATCTTCGTCAATCAAGTGGTGTCGAATCAATTGATTGTGTCTCGGTCCGCGGCAACCGGTTCACGCTCAATGACCCTGTTGCCTTGGTCGCGAAGGCAAGTCAATGATGTTGGATGATCACCTGTGAAAGTACTCACCGTAGACTCTGAACCCGGCTTGCATTGCAGGACTACGCGAACCCATTGACCGTACCATTGCTGGAACGATATCCCGTTAAACCGGATGGTAAGATCAGTGAGGTGTATCACGCTCAGAAATGGCACCAAGACGTACCCCTGGACGCTCTCAGTCCAATGTATGATGATCGCAAAGGCCACCAGCATTTCTATGTCAATGAACTTGCACAGATGCGGGATGGATCGTTCGTCATCCCATTCCGATGGGTTACATACCACGAGAAGCTTCATGCCGATGCATTTGCTGTTATCATAACACCGGTAAGCTTCACAGCGACTATTCCAACGCAATCTGTGACTCACATTACGTTTTCATGGCCAATCAGGATGGTATTGCAGATATTGTCGACGAAACAAAGCTCTTTGTTGCTGCACACGACCTTGCAAGTAACTATCTCGCCCTCAAGGACCGAGGGCACCTTCCGTTAGGCTGCAGCTGTGAGTACTATGAGCTGTCATTTTGTCGTGTTAGAGGCCATGTGACTGAACAGCCAAGAAGCTCGCTCCTTAGACCATGGATATCCTACGGAAATGCCCAACCCACTCCGTCTAGTCGCTAAGGGGCGGCCACTGTACACCAGCTTTGTCGACTATTTCGGTGATGACGTATCAGCAAATCGGTCAAAGGCATGGAACAAACATTGGAACGGATACATCACTCACCGGAATCTACCCCGCCGCATTATCCAACAAGAGTTTCATATACACTTTGTCTCCACCTCCCCGAATGCAGGAATCGCCGAACAGTTTTGTGCTGCAAAGAAACAGATACAGTAAGCAAGTCGCGTGGAATTTCGAGAAACTTATGCTCACAGCAATGCCTTGGAATTCTGTGCAGAGCGACACACACGGAGCCAGTAGTTGTTTTCGATGCAGCCACCGAAGACGAGGCGGCTCTTCGGTTATACGTGAATGCAGAAACCTCTGATAACCCGATGTCGAGTGAAGTTGCATCGCATATAGGCGGTCAAGGTAATTACCTGTGCCGCAAGTGCGACACTGGTGGTACGGACAAGGACAAGGAAAGTGATGAAGGGTTTGAAAAGCTATTCACTGTACGTATTGTGCAATTCCGAACTGATCATTCAGACAAGCACGCTGACCGGGACATTGTTTGAACAGTCGGGCAACCTGCGCAGCAAGGAGGCGATCATAAAAGAACTCACCCATCAAATATTTGAGGCGTGTTCTGGCGTGGCAAAGCGGGTCTCGACTGCTCAGACAGATTCCGGGGTCAAGGACGCATACACCCAGTACTTCATCGAGAAGCTCATTGCAGAAGCTCGTACGCTACGGGACGACAATCCAGAGATGACTATCAGTGAAGCCCAGAAGTTCTTGTGGGCGAAGTACAGCGGGGAGCTTAACGAAATGTTAAGTCCCTTCCTATCTATGGAAGGTAAACGTGATAAGCTTCTTGCCATATACGCTCGCTGACGCTGTTGCGCCCAGGCTTTGACCCGTCTCAGGACACCCCGGTTGAGCTTCTGCATACCATCCTCTTGGGCATCGTCAAGTATATCTGGCATGCAACTCATACGAAGTGGAATGCGGCCCAGAAACGCACATATGCATTGCGACTTCAAGCAACCAATCGGGATGGATTGTCTATCCATCCGATCCGTGCAAACTACATCATGCAGTATGCCAACTCCCTGATCGGACGTCAGCTCAAGACTGTTATCCAGACTGCCGTCTTCCACGTTCACGACCTTGTCGATCCCCTACCATTCAGATTATGGAAAGCTGTTGGTGACTTGGCGGTTCTTCTCTGGTTCACTGAGATATCGGAGCCAAACCTCGAGCAGTACCTGGTATGTTGCTAGATTTTGCTGTCATATATCCGAGACATCTTCCGACCAATCTGCGTTTTATCAGGCCGATATTGAGGTTGCCGTGGCAAACGTGCTCGACCTATTTGCGGGCATGGACGCCAGCCAACTATTGGAGAAGATCAAACTCCATCTGCTCAATCATATCTGTCAGGACACTCGTCGATTTGGTCCTTTGCTCAATGTGATCACCGAGTCATACGAATGTTTCAACGCTGTTTTCCGTGCATGCTCTATTCTTTCCAACCATCTTGCTCCCAGCCGCGACATTGCCAACCAACTCGCAGATCTCGAGGGCTTCAAGCACCGTCTTACCGGTGGATGGTGGGCTGATGATAGCACAGGTACTTGGGTTCGTGCTGGTAGCGACGTCCGCGACTTCATGCAGACATGTCCAATGCTTCAGACCATGCTTGGATGGTCTGATCCTGCCCATCTTAAGCCAGGTACGTCAAGCCCACACTATCGTAAGCTTGTGGCGAGGCACGCAAATTGATCTGTGGCACAGCATCCGTAAGGCTTGTACCGAATTCTCACAGCCGCCCCGCAGTCGATCTCCTGGCTCTGGCCAGTCATGCACTCAATATTGCGGAGTTCAAACCCCTCGCTGGATGGCTCAAATGTGCGTCTGCTGTGTCCCAGAGCCTTGACGAGTGTTTCGACGGATCCTGGATATATGCGGATTCATCCATTGCAAATGTGCGTACAC